TCCTCGTTTAGGATGGGGTTTTGTCCAGAGATCCTCTTAAGAACTTCAGCTGTTACAATGGTCATTCTGTTGAAATAAAGGGGCCTGTATTCTCCACATAGCTTTGTCGTTGACTGAGCCCCAAACCTTAGATTACTGTTAACTGTGCTTTGGTTACCTTATTTATCTATCTCTGTGACAGAGATATTTATGTCTTTCCCCACACCTCTGCTCGCAGTCTCCTCTGCACGTTTTAAAAAGAGACATTCACAAAGGGCTTTGAGCCCTTTCCAGACAGCCATATTTATAGACTTTTAGGGAATTGATTTACTATGTATGTGTGCTTCTGTGGGGAGATGCCTTAACTTGTATGGTTAACACAGTCTATAAGTATTCTATAAATACCATGGTCTGGTTTTCCTCCTAGGAAACGACAAAGGGAAGAAGAGATTGAAGCTCAAGAAAAAGCGAAACGAGAAAGAGAGTGGCAGAAAAACTTTGAGGTAAATTTCCAAGGTGGCCAGGGATTCTTTTTCCAGAATAAGGAAACTTGGTTCCTGTGGCATTCAGAGGACTGAGTGGGGCAGGCATTCAGAGGGAAATGGGCTATGTAGGGGAGAGTGGGAGCTATGGAGAAAGAATCTGTTCCTGGCTCAGCCTCCTAGAAGCTTCTGCAGCCATGGTAAGCGCAGTGAGGATCCCTGGGAGGATTTTGAGAGATTGTGGTAGCCACAGCTGCCCACTGGGCTCAAGAAAAATGGATTGCAATTAGCCAGGTGTGGTGGCGCATACCTGTTCCCAGCTACTTGGGAGCTGAGGCTGGAAAATCGCTTGAGCCCAGGAGTTCGAGGCTGCAGTGAGCTATGATTGTGCCATTGCACTGTAGCCTGGGTGACAGAGTGAGACCCCCTCTCTAAAAAAAAAATAAAAGAAAAAGAAAAATGGATTGCACATTTGATTTAAAGGTCTGTTAGTAGCAACCAGGTTTCTTTTGACCCAGTGTCCTGCCTGCAGAGAGACTTACAGCTTTTGAACTTGACTTTTCTTTGAGATCCTGGTTACATCCTTCAGATGCTTGGCCAATTTCTGGATTGTAGCAATATTTGGTCTTCTGTAGGATTTAGGACTCAGGTTAGGGGTTGGCTAACCAGAAATTATGAGTTTGTTTCTGTCCCACTGCATGTATGAAAAGAGAGAATACGAGGAGGCCCCTTTAACAAGGTGGAGATCCTAGTGGCCCTCTGAAGCACAACTGGCTAGGTATGATACTGGCTTTGGATCAGCCATCCAAGTTTTGGGGGGTTGCAAAAACGTATAGTGGAAAGAGTGCCTGTACTGCTGGCTAGCTGTATGGCTTTGAGAAAATGATGTAACTTCTCTGAGCCTCGGTGTCATCATTTGTGAAATGCTAGTGGCTTTATACCCCATAGTCAGCTCTTTGCGAAAATTGGAAATAACATGCTAAGCGTCTAGCCCAGAGATCCACGACAAATGGGGCCTTGTTGATGTGATGAGTATTACACATTTTGTTCTCCTCTTCCAACCTGCAGCACATCCTGCTTTCTAGGGGTGCTATGACACTTGCCTAGGCCTATGGGAGCAGAGAAAAGCCCTGCTCTCTTTTACTCTTGGATTATTCCAGAGGGCTGACCTGGGCTGGACTACAGGAGGGTTGGTGGATGGTAGGGCAGGTTCCAGTCCTTCCTCTTGTTAACTGGTCTCCTCACTTCACACTTCCTTGTGCTTAGGAAAGTCGAGATGGTCGTGTGGACAGCTGGCGAAACTTCCAAGCAAATACAAAGGGGAAGAAAGAGAAGAAAAATCGGACCTTCCTGAGACCACCGAAAGTAAAAATGGAGCAGCGTGAGTGACCACCTAGGGTCACAGCCACAGAACCTTCCCCCAGCTGTCTCCCTTCCTGCTTTGAAGGACTCATTCTTTCCTCCCACTTCCACCCCAACATAGAGTAGTATTTGCTTTTTAGCCCATTTTGTTTTCAATACAATTTAATATTGATCAGAGTAATTCTTTTGTACATTGAAATGAGGGGCTTGGTTAACAAAAGACCTTCCCCTACCCCCGCCCCTAGAACAACCAGATTGGAAGGTGCCACCATTGGTGCTGCCTTCTCTTCCCACAGCCAGTAACTTAATGTTTTGTACTTCACTGAATTGTGATGGTTAGAAACTTCGTGTATAGTTTGTGGAAATCATCCAATTAAACATATTGCTTAAAATGGTGTTGCCGTGACTTCAGAGACAAGCCTGAGCCACCTTAGGGAGCCCCTTCAATTCAGTTGCTTGCTTCTGGGTGTGCCATTCTTGAAAGCCCCAGATAAGGCAGGGAAGGCAGTGTGGGCACCCAGAGCAGTCACCTGATGCCCTGGTACCCTGTGGTGTTTGGCATGTGCCCTCTCATCTGACTGACCAGTCAGCGTGGCATGAGGCCCCAAGCAACCTAAACCTGTCCACTTTCCAAAGAACTAGCCATCCTCCATTCAATACCGTGGTATCCTAGTCTGTCTGCATTCATTAGTGGTAATGTTCTTTATGTATAATAAATTTTTATACCCAAACCATTGATGTTCTCTCCCTCAGGTATTATTCCAAGGGTGGGTCCCTTGTTTGGCTTGGCCCAACCCCAAAATGCTTTGAGGTTGGACAGAAACTGGTTCCCTACCACTTATTTGCTGAACCTTAGTTTCTTCATCTGCAAAATGGGAATATAAATTACTGTGGCAGCTTTTAGGGAGGATTACCCATGGCATATATAAGGTAACTACCATAGTGCTCAGTGGGTATTGCCAATATAGTATTATTTCTGTGTAAAATGAAGATACTGATTATTTTGAGGATTAATGAAGTAATACATGAAAGCATCCGGCTCACAGTGTATGCTCAAATGTCCTGCTTGCCGAGAGAGATAGGATCAGCCCTTGGGAGGGGCATAAAGTGAGAAATAGAAAGGTGACAAGTGAAATGTAAAGATAAGAGAAACGGGGTGGCTTGAAAGTAGACTTTTGCTTTTTGCAGTTCTTGTAGATGAGTAAATAGGTACAATAATATGAAAGGCACAATGTTTTATAGTATCAACAGACACCACAACTTTGATTTGCTTCTCTATGGGAGGGGACAGAAGCTTGGGTGTCTTACTGTCCTTCCAAGTGCAGCAGAGCACGTCCAAACCACTCGGGAACTAGAGCACCTCGGTGGGTGGGTAGGTGTGGCTCTGGCTAAAACTGGACCAAGGCAGAGGGAGGGAGGTGTTCAGTCACCCTGTAAAAGCGATACTTGTGAGGTAATGCAGGCTGTCCTGTGCAGGGAGCAGTGGCTTGGTTCTCTAGCCAGGCAAAGTGACACCCGTCTTACTCCAGTGTGTGGATGTACATACCCACCCTTTCCTTAGAGGTTAAGTGGTGGTCAGCCATCTGCAAGCTCATTTTTGCCCTGCCTGCTGCCTGCCTCACAGCTAAGGTACACAGGCAAGTGACAATGCATCCACTGCTCTGAGGAGGGAGCCCTTGATCTTGTTTTTAACACCCAAGGTATGTTTCCCGGAGAAAGTGACCGGTTTAAAAGTTGGAACCCAGTAGCTGATGCACCAGAGAAAAACTGGGAAAAATAAATAGGGGAATATTTTGCTCACCTAAGTCTGGAGGCAGGCAGTTTCAGGTATTACTCATGGGCTCAACAATACCACCAAGGAAACAGGCTCTTTTTTTT